CCATTTGCCACATGGCAGCAGAGTGATCCTGCTCCTCTGCAAGGAGAGAAAAACCAAAGTGCTTAGGATTTACAAAGCCTTGCATGATCTTGCACGCATCCACTCCCATCCATCACCTGATGATATCCTTCCCTTTGCTCATAATGCTGTTAAACCAGCTCTCAGTTCTTCGAGCACCCTAAACTCTCTCACTTAGGACCTTTGCACACACTGTTCCCGCTCCTTGGAATACTTCTCCCCCAACTCCTCGGATGGCTGGCTCCGTCTTATCCTTCAGGCTTTGGCTTAAATATCACCTCCTCAGAGACGCTTCCTCTGATCACCTTCTCTAAAACAGGTCCTTTGTTATTTTTTTCATAGCATTCGTCACATTTGTAATAGCTACTCTTTCCTCTTCTGTCTCATCCACTGGGAATGGAAGTTACAAGAGGACAGGAAGCAAGTCTGATTTCTTAACTATTGTTTCTGTAGAAGGTAGCACACTGTAGGGACTTTTTCTTTCTTTCTTTTTTTTGAGACAGAGTCTCGCTCTGTCCCCCTGGGTAGAGTGCAGTGGTTTCATCCTAGCTCACAGCAACCTCAAACTCTTGGGCTCAAGCGATCCTCTTGCCTCACCCTCCCCAGTAGCTGGGACTACAGGCATACACCAGGACACTCAGCTAATTTTTCTATTTTTAGTAGAGACGGGGTCTCACTCTTGCTCAGGCTGGTCTCAAACTCCTGAGCTCAAGCGATCCTCCCGCCTTGGCCTCCCAGAGTGCCAGGATTACAGGCGTGAGCCACCGTACCCGGCCTGTAGGGACTTGTTGAATGAATGACTCTTCATTTAATCCTCACCTCTAGTTAATACCCCCACTTTACAGATGACAACACGAAGGCTTAGAGAAGTGAGAAACTCACTCCAGGTCACAGAATCAGACTCAGATCCAGGTTTGATTGATTTGAAAGCCTGTGCACTTTCTATCTTATCTATTAAACTTGGACCGAAACACCAGACTAAGCAGCATGACTGTTGAATCTCAAGGTGACCTTGGAGGCGTTTCAGGATTAGTCATTCAAGATCACATTTATCTTTTCCTTGTCAGTTCTCTATAGGGTATACCAAGGAGAAAACCCTGAACCTGAAGGCTGATTAAATAGACCTTTGGCAACCTGAGTTTTGGTGGCTTAAAAATACGCCATGGAATGTAGGTTTCTTGTGAAATTACTCTGGACTGAGCCAGTATTCCTGACAATTGTGTTATTTCTTCCCCCAGTTTCATCAAAATTGTTACTTCTAGCACTCAAAGCTGCTTTACCTCATAAAGTAAAATTTAAAGTTGAATAAAACCACTGACTAATGCCAGGCTCTTTAGAGAATGTGGTAATGACCACACGCTACCAATGTTCACTGGGACTGCAAAAGATCCTTCCATTTCATTGACTCCACCGGACACTGTACTGGGGGATATAATAACATGGATGGATACAGCTAACAATATTGAATACTGTGTTACACTGTTCTAAATGCATATATAAATTTGAAGTGCACGCACAAATAGAGATGTGCGTATCTAATCCTCACAAATCTAGAGGCTATATCATTAATTTATAGATGCACACACTGGGACACAGGTTAAATAATGTGCTCTGGTCACACAATGGCTACATTAAACTGTTCTAAAAACTGAACTCATATACAAATATTTTAAATATTAGTAGCATCAGGTGGCAGTGAGATGTGATAGGGTCACAAGCATTTAGTGGAAGAGACGTAATACTCAAATTGTCATGGAACTGGCTAGAAGGAGACTTAGCGAGTACATGTTCTCAAGGCATTCATTATACAGAGGGGTAACTGAACCTACAGTCTTAGTAAGGGGCTGAACCATAACCAGAATGCAGGTCATGACTTCACTATTCTTTACACTTACACCACACAATACACTTATTTAAGGAAGCATATTCTAAACTCGTTTGGGAAATAGCCAATATGACAAGTTCTGATAGCAACACAGGAGGTAAAGGGCTATCACTAAGAGCAGTGATTCCCGACAGTTTTTTCTATGTGAAAAAGTCTTGCAGGTAATTCTGATACTCCCATGCCCCACTATCTGCTTTAATGCAACAAGTTTACTTTTGAGGTTGATTTGGAAAATACCTAAGCAGGGTCTAGTTTACCTTTTGCCATTGCATTTTTTGTTTCATTATTATAACAAAAGGAGTAGTAGTGGTGGAGGATAAGGATGGGCATCCCCAGGGAAAAAAGGTTTTTTATCATGTGACTTTGCCTTCCTGCCACAACTGAGTGGACTGGAGATTGCTGATCACACACACTGGATGGCCAAAACCAGTCAGATCATGCTGTGTGTGCATCAGAGCTCGGATGCCATAAGCAAAACAATTAGGTGCCCATAGGATCCGGAATTCAAGGGTTATCATCAGGGTCAAATTTATCACAATGGCAAGTGCAAACCTATGAAAACCAATTATGAGGCAGCCGCAGAGATTTGGGATGGAAGTCAGGTGCAGAGAGGCATGTTTGTTCCTGATGTCATAGTACTACCAGTTTTAGTCACCATGAGATCCAGCTCCACTTTGTTCACTGCCTGTGTTAGTTTCTGAAACTCGGACTTTCATAATAAAGTACTCTATTTTACTGATGTTTTCAATGGGGGGAAAATAATTTTAGTAGGTATCAATATTTTCTGAAGGACAGATTAAATTTTCCCTAAAAGAATCTTTTTATCTTTAGACTTACAATGTATAAATTTTGAAAACATTCAATCTAGATAGTCACTATGACATCTAACAGGTTAGTGTGAAATAAATAAAATAGTCACTATGACAATGACATTAGAAGGAAGAAAGGGAGGGAGGAAAGAGAAAACAAAACCAGGGCAGGTGCTCAATAAATGTTTGTTGAATCAAGGAATAAAGATAGTCTTGACAACAGAATTAAAAAGGCTTTTCATTTCATATTTGTTATCAGTGCTTCAGTACAGAATGTTTTATAATGATTAGTGACATTGTGAACACCAACTTTTTACAGCACTAAGTACCAGTCTTTTCTAGTAAATATTGATTTACCCCAAAGTAACCAAACATAACACAATTTCAACAGACGGTAATACCATCAGCATAATAACCCAAATTACAAAAATGGCAATATTTAAAACCATGCACATTATTTCACCGTTTCATAAAACGTCTTTTTAAATTTTGACAAACTTTCCTGGTATAAAAAGACTCCTCAAAAACATGATAACATTAAACTACAAAACTCACTTTGGAAAAGTAGGGAGTTATTTTTCTAATTTTGGCTTTAAGATTTTTTAAATCTGTTAAAAAATATAGTGAGGAGTGTGTTGAGAGAGGTGGAGAAAAAGGAGCTTCCAGTTGGTGGATTCAGCATGTCTGAAAATACTTCAGTTATGTAAAAGGAAAACTTCAAGAATAAGGATGTATTATAAATAAGAGTCTTTCAGCAAGATGAACAGATGAGCAGTTCTTGCATCAATTGCACCCATGGGAGAGAGTCTTCTTGAAGAATGCTTGTTTATAGAATCTTCTGTAAAATAGAGTTGACTACCTCCAGTGATTCATCTTGCACTAAAACAATATCATAAGAGTCCATGTACTTTTCTAAAAGCTCATCCACCTAATCAAAAGAAGAACAAAAATAAAATGAACATGCAGCGAGAAGCAGCAAATGATTCCAGTACAGATATTGTTATGTTAGATATGTGAGACAAAATATAGTAAATTAAGTTCACTTTCATAAAACCTCTGAAATGAAGAAAAATACTTTAAAACTTTTAAGAGTCACTGACACTGAAATTTTTCCACATGGTAGCTTTTCTCCCCAAAATGATCTTTCTCCAGTCCAATGGTTCTCAACTGGGATGATTCCAAGGAACATGTGGCAATTTCTGGTGATATTTTTGATTCTTATGACTGAGTGCTACTCAGCCTCTAGTGAGTGGAGGACAGAGAGGCCTCCTATAGAATACATACCTTCCCTTCCCCCAATACCTACAGCATGCATGTGTGTACCAACTCCTTTAATCATCACCAAAGTAAAAGGGTAAAGAATAATCAAAATGTCTGTGAAGTAACTGCTTTTTCAGGTCCCTTTGGCAACAATTACCTATAAAGTTGCATTCTAATTTTTTCTTAGGAAGAAAGTTAAATTACAGATCTTTATACTTACTCTATCATTTAGATATCCAATTTTCAGAATGTGTTCAACATTGGCTACTCCATCTGCCATTCTTAAGTCTCCTTGGGAGTCTCCCAGCAGAATTATGTTGCTATTGTCTTTTAGTTGATTAAAATATTCTGTATTCTTCAAGGCACCATCATGTTTGTTAAATACATGAATTAGTTCTCCTTTAAATCCTTTGAGTACTCCCTATAAAAATATAAATATTTTGAAATAATAGGTTTTGAAAATTCTATTTATTGGATTTTCATATTTTGCAAATTTTAATAAATGTCGCTATTATTTCATCATATTTGTAAATTTATCTTTGATATTAGAGATCTCAAAGCACTTAAATCCAATCACATTCATGATAGCTAAGAAGGGCCCCATGAAGTCAATGATGTTTTTAGAAACTACCTTAAGTGGTAAAACAAAATGAGTTAAAAACTCAACTTTTGCTTTTCATTTTGTTCCTAACCAAAATATTCCATCTTATGTATTTCATAATACGCTGTCTTAATTAAAAACCTTGGTCAAAAAATGTCAGTTCTAATTCACTTTTTTTCCAACTATGAATGTTAAATTTTCAGAGTTGCTGCATTAAATTACTCTAAAAACTTTTACTAATTTTATTGTTAGTCTATAGCTTTAGGAATGAAAATTTAAGAAGGGTATATTGTTTTTAAAAATGGATAACCCTGGGAAAGATGGAGAGTGCCATAGTAGGCATATCAATGTGGCCTAATTTAATGAATATGCATTAATAATAATAAATTTGCATGATTAAAATATTTTCAAAGTTTTAAAGTAATTAAAATATTTTCAGATTTTAAAAGTAATTATGAAGAATGATTTGAGCTGGGCACAGTGGCTCATGCCTATAATCCCAGCACTTTGAGAGGCCAAGGCAGGAGGATCACTTGCGTCCAGGAGTTTGAGGCTGCAGTGAGCTATGATGACGCCACTGCGCTCTAAGCTAGGGAGGCAGAGCGAGACCTTGTCTCTAAAAAAATAAAATAATGATTTAATATTCTTACATTTTCATCAAAATCCATGAAGTTGGACACAACTTTGACATTTGGATGATAAACACCAGCTTGACGGATAACCTCCTCTAGTACATCACCGATACCAGCTGAAAATATGAACACCGGGATACTGTGTTGTTGGAGCTTATCAAAGAAATTCTCATATCCTTCCCTGCAAGATGTAGGTACAAAGTGATGGTTAAAGAGAAAGATATAGCCCCTTTTCACTTAGAAGTTTAAAGAATGAAATATTTCTACGTGATTCTATGGCTCTCTTATATTCTCATTTCAAAATACTGCCTAAGAGGATTGTTGATGATATCTAAGATATTAATACTAGTAATGAAAGTTTTTCAAATAACAGTTAATGCTTTACCCTCCTTTTAATCAATTCTAAGAGTATGAACTAGATGTTTTTAGAGTCGCACTGAATATGAATATAAGCCTACAGCTCATAATTTAAACATTTAAAAAGACACAGCCGGCATGATAGCATGTGCCTGTACTCCCAGCTACTTAAGGGGTTAAGGCAGGAGGATAGCCTGAGCTCAGGAATTGAAGATCAGCCTGAGCAAGAGTGAGACCCTGTCTCTTATAAAAAAAAAAAAAATAACAAAAATTAAAAAATAAAAATAAAACAGAAAAAGATAGTTAAACTACAACTTGAAAACCCCACTTATGGTGAAGTGGAAGACTGCTTGCTGTATACAATATTCATCTACCTTCCCTATTGCCAGAAAAGCATCTAGCATTTCTCTTTCCTAAAATCTTAAAACCTTTTCTTCCCCTTTTACTCTTCTTAGGTTATAAGTTAAATAAAACTGTTGCTGCCTACAAAGGAATGTAATATTTACTAGCTGTCTTCACATTCTTTCTGACAATTTGACAATTTCCTCCTTAGAAGTAGTCACCTTAAAATATAGCATAATCCAAAAAACCAAAAACTAGCATCATATTTACCTAATGAGTTGAACTTTTAAGAAGTGGTAAACAGTATTGAAAATAAGCTTAAAGCTTGTTTATAGCTAGTAATTCAAGAATTATAAATATTTTAATATTTTAATTATATTTATCTTCCCTAGAAGTAGTTTTCAACGAAGTTTGAGAATTCAGAAAGTAGATTCATATAAATTTAGAAACAGGGTACCTAGCTAAATCTTTTTCAACTGGATTTATACATTCCTTTCATATTCTATGTCTTTCAAAAGTATTTTGCTAAAAAATTTTAAAATAGGCTTGGTTTCAAAAATTTATGAATTAATCTTGAAGTTTTTAATCTGGATGAAGGAAATATAAATTAGTACTTAAATCTCATAAGCCTCTTAGGATCTACACCAAGATCTAACATGTTTTTCTAAATTCCTTATCTCAACACTATCTATTTTGTGATGGCATATGGCATATTTTGGATGTTTATATATGTAATACTATATACCTTATTTTAGTAAAAATACACAATTGAATACATATATAACAATACTTCAAGTCTGTAAACAATAACAACAAAAAACACCAAAGAAACTTACTTGAGCATAACATCAGATTCTGCCACAATTTCTGTAAGTTTAGCTTTTGGTAAAGATTGTTCAACAAGCAAACGATGTGATTTATTATACCTGAAGTTCATGATCAAAGAAAAAAAGAATATCAATTAAAACTATTATCTTTATTAGAAAGCATTCTTTAGTGTGAGAAAGTGAGTTTTGTTTATCATATTTGATAAGAGATTTAAATTCACCACTAAGGAATGTATACCCCATTAGTCTCAAAGTGTGATAAGCATGTTCTTGCTGAATTTCCCAGTTCTCTCAAACTCGGGCTTAGCTTAAGTATGTTAATAGGTAAAGAGAAGAAACTAGCTGTAAACCTTTCCTCAGTCTACAGATAAGAACTCAATCCAGCCTAGGGATGAATAATCATTTTTCTGATTGCGGTAAGAGAGCAAAGCCATTTTTTCCAACTGTTTGTAGTTTGAATTTTCATGAAATGTCTACATACTGAATGAAGATGCTGCCTAGTGAGCAAGAGAGAAAATCCTTTTAATGAAAATTGTTATATATAGATTGGCCTGCTTTGTATTTATGTAAAAACACCTATAATCACGGCATCTGAGAATAACAGGCCTTTACAACCTCTCACCCGTTACAACTAACAAACAGCCAAACAAAAAAAGTAAAAAACCCTAATTCTTCACCTGATACCTAAAAATACCCCTATAATATTCCTAAGTGATTCTCTTCTCTGCCTGGGTCAGGTTCTTTCATGTCAGTGGACTCATTCTCCAAAGGAAGCTTATTCCATTGGCAGAAAACTCTAACTGCCAGATAGCTGTTTATCAAGCTGAAATCAATCTTCTTAAGCCTTCGAAGTCTAATGCCAGTTCTACTGCTACAAGTGTGTACAGTTAACTCTAGTATCTTTTCAACATATAATACCATAAACACAAATAAGGTGTGTAAGGTACCCTATTAGGTAATGAGAAAATGAAGACAAATATCATTCCTGGCTTCTTAAGATTTTAAAACAAGTTGTTACTTCTCAAAGCATATTCTGTTCCTTGAAATGTTCCTCAAATAGGATGGCTCAGACTCCTCTGATCATCCTGGTGGACTCCTCTGACTTCTTTCAGGTTTTCAAGATTTCTCTTAATAGCATTCTTCCAGAACCCTGGAACAATGTTTTGATGTGTGGTCTGCTTAGAACACTGCATTTTGATTAATGCAACCAACACCAGAGGTCTATTTCTCAGCAGCCATGTCACCTGCTGGCTCCAACTGAGTTCAGAGTCAATTAAAATCCTAATTCCTGGCCAGGCGCGGTGGCTCACGCCTGTAATCCTAGCACTCTGGGAGGCCGAGGTGGGTGGATCGCTTAAGGTCAGGAGTTCGAGACCAGCCTGAGTAAGAGCGAGACCCCCGTCTCTACTAAAAATAGAAAGAAATTATCTGGACAACTAAAAATATATAGAAAAAACTAGCCGGGCATGGT